AAACCTTCCTGTCAGATTAAATAACTCCATATCGGAATTGTTGAAACATTTCAAGTATGAAGGCCACTCGAAAGAGATCAGCTGCATTGATATTGCTGCGGACAGCACTGACCATCAGACTGGAAGAATGTCCGTACGTCACAGAAGCCTTGGAAATACGGAAATCGGATATGAGAGTACTCGGAGTTATCCGGTGGATTCCAGACTGACTCGGAGTTGGACCGTCGACGTGTCGACTATCAGATCTCCCCACAAAGGGCACATCAAACTTATTACCGGTCTGGCGCTTTCAAATGATGGCGTCATCCTCGCTAGCGCTGCCGGAGACGACACCAGCGAGCACTGGGCTTTCGAGTCCCGCCAGCTCCTCGCTTCCTTCGACGTTCAGAATCCCTTTAACCTTATCCTCTCATCTGACGCACGTCAGTTTACACGACTTATTCTGCGATTGATGTATGCAACACTCCTTCTGACATCCTTGCTAACGCATTTATCACGTACACTCACTAACACTTCCTTACAGGCACGTAACAAGGTAACCCCCTGCTACATTACTCCTACCATCCTCTCTCGCGGGACAGGCCGCACCTCGGTTTGATCATGTCAGTGTTTGATTTTTAGTGAATTGGCAATCCATGACTGACTGTGTATACAGTTCGAAATAGGTTCTCCGCCTCGCCCGTTGGATGCTCCAATCATGCAGTTCCTACAACAGCACCTGTCGTTTCTCGTTTCTCGTGCCAAGACACAGTCATGTGCCACCAGTCGTTGATGTCGCATCAGGGCGGAAGGTTACTGTAACGTATATTTCCTTACATCTTAGTGCTTTGTGTTGATCTGTGCCTCACAGCGACTTGCTGCTGCCAAATTCCCAGAATACAAATACAGGAAAGTCGATGACACCTAACATCCATCTGGACAGCAGGTGGGAGTGCCGCAGCATATTGACACATGTGACATCGATTCACTCCCAGAAGTGCATTGGATCAGGGTGTTCCTGTGCTACTATTAATGCTGGCCTCACGGCAGACTGAGGAAGCCTCCTCGATGGTGCTTGGAGCGTGTTGACATACCCCGTCAGAATAGCACGACAAACACTAGTGGCAGCTGTAATGGTGCCCATAGTCGCAGTTAATTTCGTGTACACTCATCCATGTTTGTTGTAGATCAATTCTACACCATCTGCGATACTCAGCGCACTTGCCGAATCTCGTCACAAGATAAACTTGCATGATTTGAATGATCCTCCCGTGGAATATCGATCAATTTGCGCTGGTTAAGGTTAAGACATTCGTTTCGCTCAGTGTGTAATTTGGATGTCTAATCATATTGCTGTATGAAACGGTCACACAGAACGCTGCAAACAAGTATGACGTCAACAATTTGTCAACAAATAGTTACTAGTACTACCAAACTTTGATAAGGCCATTTCAAGTCCCTTCAATTTGCCCATACCAACCATGTTCGAAAAGCCCGTCATCGGTACTGGTCAGCATCTCTAGAGCTTTAGCTTCGAACACCACGAACTCGACCGTCACCTATGGCACGAAAATCACATGATATGTGATTTGTATTATGTTAGTAAACCTACATGCAACACGCATAATGGTTCCATATAGAATTGCATATCATCTAGTAGGTCATTGCCATACCGATTGCCATACCTGTGATGCTAACAACCAGGGGAAATCAAAGGAGCCCTCGCAACCGTGGAATCTCCGCTACGAACGTTCCAGGGAACAGAAGCTCAACATGTCCGACACTGGGTGCCTATCTGCCGCATGGACCCCTGACATAACTACCATCAGGCTTGTTGACTGATGTGGAAAGTTGCGTCGATACGACTTGGACGCATGAGCTCATTCATTTAGATCATCAAGCAAGGTACTTATGATAAAAGCCTCATGTTTTGGGCGTTTAGTGAGAGGTTAATGCTATAAAGCACGTTTAAAACGCTCCATCACACACACCTCTACAACTTTGAGACGCCATCCCCCCACACACACCAAGACCACCTTAACTGTGCTGCAGCTCCACTAAAATGACGGCCCTCATTCCAAGCACCACACCCATTCGAACATTCGAAGATCACGGGGATCGCGTGGTCGCAGTTGCGGTGATCCGCGATGAACGCATGGTCACGGGCTCGTATGACGGGACGCTTCGTCTGTGGGACTTGATAAAAGGTGTAGTGGTGAAGAAGATGGAAGGACATCGCAGTCGGGTGCGGGCATTGGCGGTATCGCCAGACGAGCAATGGATAGCAAGCGGTGATGAGAGCGGAGAGCTCATCGTCTGGCATGGACAAACTGGGGAACCACTGGAGCAAACAATCAAAAAAGCCCACAACGGCTGGATATTTTCGCTTGACTTTTCACAGGATTCCCAGGCGCTGGCCAGTGGATCATCCGACACCACCACGAAGCTATGGAACACATCAACGTGGCAGGTGGAACATTCGCTCAATTGCGTTGGAAATGTCCGCTGCGTTCGGTATTCACCTTCTGGCGACACACTTCTTGCGATTGCAACAGACCACAATATCCAAATTTACCAAGATTACAACGGTGTATGCAATGCTCCACCATTCCCCAATCAGTTGATAACAACCATTTATGGGACATTCAACTACTCACTCGCATGGACGGGCGATGGCTCACAGCTTCTCTCGGGGGGCAATGGGGATAATCCCAGCATACGAGAGTGGACTACATCGAACTGGCAGCAGGTCGGTGATCCCTGGAAGGGTCATTCCAAGAATATCCACGCCATTTCTCTCAACTCTAGCGGTACTCTCCTTGCCTCCGCATCTCATGACAACCATGTCCGCCTCTGGCGACTCTCAGATCGACGAAACATTGCCATATTCAAACACTCTGGGGAGGTGAACTGTGTCACGTTCTCTGCGAATGGCAAGCACGTCCTCAGTGGAGGTTTGGATAGAAAGATCTCAGAGTGGCCAATATCTGAGGACGCGGCTTTACTGGATGAGGGGACGCACCAGGTACCTTTGTTTTCGGCTTCCCGCCCATTCATCATCTAAGTGTCTTTTTTCTGCCAAGGCTCAAGGCTACTCTGATTTCAAGGCATGTTCCCGCCTTTGACTCTGATAACACAATGTGAACAAGATTTGTACAGGTCCTCGCCATGAAGTCGGCAGTCAGCAACGCGTGTATAGTTGGGGACTTGCCGGCCGCTGAACTGGCGCTAAATATAGATATTGACGCTGGCACCAACGATCACACCACCTATGCCAATCGCGCATTTGTTATGGCGCGAAACAGCAACTGGAACCAAGCGCTTCAAGATGCAGTTCAGGTGAGACTGACTGACCCATCATAACCTCCTTACAAAAATTTAACTTTGATGATGGCACAGTCCGTCAGCATTAAGCCATCGTTGGCAGGTCATATTTCCCAGGGCATTGCCCTCTGCGGAAAAAAGCAGGTTCTTGCCGCAAGGATTTCATTTGACCTCGCATCTCTGTTCACGAACGGAGATTCAAAGACCGATCACTTCCTTTTCTTGATCAAGGCAGGTCATATGTTTCTAACGTACTCCGTGCTTCATTGCGGTTTTTAGGCCATTGCGTTGTTCAATGCAGATCACCATCAAGAGGCGATACTGCGCATCGGAGAGCTAGCCGCGTGTCCCGATGTCGATCCTGTTGCTTGTCGTGTCGTGGAAGTGAGTACCATGTGTTCGATCACACCAAGTCCGTGTGCTGTCATTGATTTCTTTTGCCCCTTCGTACACCAGGCCTACCTACGCGTCCGACTGGGAAACATAGCCTTGGATGGCGCGCGCTACAATGAAGCTGTCGAACACTTCACCGCCGCTGTGAATGCTAGCACTTTCTTTTACAAATCGCCGATTCATTTGATATACGACGAATATGTCGCGGTACGCTGATGTGACGCCACCGAAAATTCTTTCGTGCTCAACGGCGTGTTTTCTGCAGCTCTTTGGTTGGGACCTCAAGTCCTTGTGGCACACCGCGAACCAACAACATTGTTATGCACTCTTTCGAGCAGGTAGCTTAAGAGCAGCCATCGAATCTTATCAGTCCATCATGGATAAGACTGATGATGATATGAAGGCCAGCTTTCGTGCCGGGTTCACTGGTAAGTATTGTCTCCCTGCCTCTGCGTGTATATCATCAACTGCACTTCACTCAGCTCTCGAGTAAGATCGAAATGCAATCTACGCTTCCCATGGAGATGGTACGCTCGCAGCGAGCGGTTAATCATAGTTTGAAACACAAAGATCCTCGAGTACTTTTAATTTGTACCTTTGCTGTGCACTGCCGCAGTGCACAGCGGCATGTCGTTTTATCCATTTCTTCAGCCCATCAAATCTTCCTGTCAGATAATAACTCCATATCGGAATTGTTGAAACATTTCAAGCATGAAGGCCACTCGAAAGAGATCAACCGCATAGATATCACTGCAGACAGCGAGCTACTAGTAGCGAGCGGGGCTGGAGATACAGCGCAGATATGGGACCTGAGTACCGGCAAATTTGTGGCTGGACCATTCGAGACCGTTGATTGTGTGGGCACAGCTCAATTCTCATGAGACTCAAAGAATGCCGCAGAGGCCTTCGAAACACAGAAATCGAATATGAGAGCAGGGGAATCCGGTGGAAGACTCAGACAACTTGCAGTCATAAATGTGCCGGTGTTCGGGACAAACACAAATAAAAACATTATGTACATCAACAAAAGTGACATTATCATGTAATAGCATACCATGACGTAGAATCAGTAAAATAGGTACCAGATAGTACATACTAGTGCCAGGTTTGCACACACCCTTAAATGTTGATGCTTGCGACTGCTTGCATTGATGTTTGATGGCAGGTTGACACAGTATGTATGCTAATTTACGTGATGTATGCAATTTCACGCCTTGTATGTGAGGTCCATCATTAAAGCTAGAGAGTCATGCATGTACCATAGCATACTGGGGCTTGTTATTATTTCACACTCGAAAACAAGAAATAGAAAAGGGCATTTGATTTGATTTACGACTCCGAGTATACATATTTGGGACAAAGCGACTACAAGCAAGTACTAAATAGTACCACCTACAGGCAAACTCATCATGTCACCCTCAGTGAGCATGAATTCAACAGACATCGAATATTGAGATCGAACAACGAATCGATGCTAGATTATGCACCAGCACAACACGCATTAGAATCTAAATGTATTCCTCAGTTTTCAAACTACATACCTGCGTGTATGCAGTCATCAACTGTGCTTCAAGCTTCAAGCCTTGACTGCCTCTGCCCTGCAAACTAGCGTAAATGAGGGAATGGCAACAGTATGTATTAAAATACTTCCCAATTGTTGGAAATAGCCTTTGCACCATCGTGTCACCGAGTATATGACAGAGCAAAGTCAATAACCTTACAATAGCAATCCAAACAATGTGAATCTCTGACTTACCCACTCGCATCGTTTTACCAACTTGATGGGCAGTCGGGATGGGCACAGTAGGAGAACGACTCAGGCAGTCAGGGTGAAGGGTATAGTGGGGTCACGGGTGTGAGCAAAGTCTGAGCGACGCGTCGCGTCGATATTCATATTCACGAGGATCGGAGTTCAAACTGAGTTTCAACCACATGTCACATGATGTCTGCGTCATTCTAAGCGTTTTGTCCTTAGTGTGCCAAACGAGTTGTAAGTACGTCTCAGTGATAAAAGCAGAGCACAACCTACGATGAGAGTAATAACTTGAAGGTTCCATCAGCATCACAGAATGCTCTGTGACTCACATGTCCCGCTCAACCTTGGTGTGCTGTGTGACTGACCTTAACATTGTCCACTTCTTTGGCACAGTGTCACGAATTCCAAATACAAACCATTATTCTTTCTTGAACACTCGTAAGACACCCGTTAAGCGCCCGTCACAAGCGCCTGTCATTAGCGCTCAGTCAGCGTCTATACCTATAACCTTCACAAACCCTAACCCGAACTTCTCTATTCCATTAGCGTCCACTACTTCTATCTCTGACGTTCCTGATTTTGACTTCCTTACTCAAGCGATTAAGTCACGTGATTCCAGAACCTTCGAGAACCCTTGCACAGCCATTACACGTTCTATGACATCATAGGTAGTTATATTTAGAACATCGTACGATTCCTTTTTCTATTTAATGATTGGCTAGTTAGTTCAGATTCAGATTCAGTCTCCGCTTCTGTTAAGACCGTACTCAAGTAGTATCGGATCCGAAGGGCTTCGGCCTCAGCTCGTGCGCTGTGCCCCTTTCCCGAGTCTTGCCCCTTATTTCAGAGAGCTAAAGTATCGCGTATATAGAGTAACGGCCAATCCGGATCGGATCCGGACTAGAAACTAACGGGTGAGGACTGTCCGAAGACAGAGGCGGATATGTAGACTATAGGAATCTATCCTAAGTCTCGGAGTTGACAAGAGTAGCGTACTCAAGTCCGGATGGATAACGGAGGGACTCAGAGTCCAGACGGAATGAGTGCAATCTAAGATGATATTCGAACTGATCTACTACAGCGCATATACAAAGGTTTATATACTACGGATAGCTAACGGAATGATCAATAAGCAAAGGTGCGAGGCTATGTACGAAAGTATAAGCAAAGTCTAAGTGGAGCGTATTGGTAAGTTGGATGGATCACGAATCATGAACCGGGAATGAAGTACAAGTAAAAGCGGATTCGTAAGTGTAGCGGATCAGTAAGCATAGCGGATCAGTAAGCAAAGCGGAAGTAAAGGATAACCGGTATACCGGTGTACAGGAATACCGAAAGGAGATGAACGATAGTTAGAGTTATATGAACAGGAAATGAAATAAGAATCAAAGCGGATCTGTGGACCGGACGACGGATATGTTCATTGGATCTGGATCGGATCTGAGATCCAGATCATCGGATCTGTAACCGGATATATGGTATATGACAGTATCCCCCCCTTAGGGCCGATCCCTAGAGGCACAAGAATCAGCGATCCGGAACGGATGGTATGAGTGCGAGACAATGGAGAAGCTGATGGGAGAAGTTGCTGAGTTCGGATTCTGACAGATATACGGATGCCAAAGCGTCGCAGGGTGTTCCTTCCTTTCCCTACTTTTTCACTACCACTAGCTTATCTCAACCATGACTGATAATGGATCCGGCTCTAAGAAGACCGCTAAGCAGACTCTGGCGGATATCCAGGCCGCGCTGGCTGCTGCTGAGGCCGAGGTTCAGAAGGAGGAAGAAGCTGAAAAGCTGAAGCAACAAGCGGAAGAGGCGGAACGGAAGCGCTTGGCAGGGATTAAGAAGATTGAACGGGCTGAGGCCCGAAGGGAAGCGGAGGAGGCTAGGCGCAGGGCTATAGTGGCGGAAATGGTGAGTTATGACTTGTTCTATCGGATCCGTCCCTTATCGGATCCGTAGTCTCGCGCCATCTCAGCGGATAAGGATGGGGCTTGTACCCGCTGCGCTAAGAAGGGCCGAGCCTGTCTGTGGTCCGATGCGGATAGCAATTCCTTGGTAAGTCATCCTTGAATCTTCGGATCCGTGACTCTTAACATTCGGATAGATCAAGGCTTGTAACGCGTGCCGGAAGGACAAGGCTCCTTGTCCCGGACGACCTGGAACCGTTACGGATTCCAAGTCTAAGAAGAGGCAGCGCGCTGCTGAGAACCCATCTCCGAGAGGCAAGGGTAAGAAGCGCCAGCAGAGTCCGACTCCGGATCCGGATATGAAGACGGTAGTAGCGGATGAGGTGGAAGTGGAGTATGATGATCAGGCCTGGGTCGCGGCCGCTAATAGCATTGTAGCGGAACTGGCTCGGACCAACAGATTGCTCCAGCAGAGCATCGGAGCGGCGGAAGGGAGTAGGACTGCTATAGAGCGGATGAATACTAACTTGGAGGCGTTTTTGGAGCAGCAGAGGGAGTTCCAGACCATCCTTCTTGAGGGGATCCGGAATGGAATCCGGATTACCGAGGCGGCTCGTTCTGAGGCCACTGACAAGGACGTTGATGAATCCGGATCCGGATCGGGTGGGGACATGGAGATGGATGGCTGAGGATTTTCGGATCTGCCTTCTCTGCTACTAATGTACTTGTATATCCGCTTTGTATATTCATTGTATAGCAATAGGACCGGGTTTGTCTGGATATGCAGTGTGGAAATCCGAGACTAGATCGGACGCGTTTCCGAGTTCCGTGGCTAGTAGCCATGAAGTCTCTTCGTCTGTTCCTTCGTATCCGGACCATCGGATGAGGTATAAGAGTTGGCATTGTCTTCTACGACGGTCCAGCTTAGAGTCTAGGATTTCGGATATCTCATATTCTGGTTCTCCGTCGACTTCGACCGGAGGTGGAGGAGGCTGGATCCGATTGGGAATTGTGTTCAGAACGGATGGTTCTAGCTGTGAGACATGGAAGATGGGGTGGACGGATTTCATGGATTCGGGAAGTCGGATGGTAAAGGAATGGGTACCCGGACGGGATATGACTTCAAACGGACCTAGATTCTTTTCCGAGAGTTTCTTAGATGGACGAGTGGACCGGAAGTACTTAGCCTTGACAAAGACTTGGTCTCCGATATTGATATCCGGAGCAGGTTTCCGTTTAGCGTCCGCAGGTCCTTGATATCTTTCTTGGGCGTGAGCCATTTCTTCTCTAAGGAATTGGTGAAGGTCGTCGAGGTCTATAGCATAGTCGCGAGCGCGGATGGAGGATAGATCGCGTTCCGGATGGACGGATATGTTCGGATGATAACCCTTATTAGCAAAGAAAGGCGATACTCCGGTAGTAGCACTTGGAGCGTTATTGTAGGCAAATTCTGCTAAGGGAAGTAGTTCCGACCAGTTGTCCTGTTGATAATTGCAATATATCCGAAGGTATTGTTCCAGGGTTTGGTTGGCACGCTCGGTTTGTCCATCCCCTTCCGGATGATATCTGGATGTGAAGTGGAGGACCATATCCAATGCTTTTCCTAAGGATCGGAAGAAGTGGGATACAAACTCTGTACCGCGATCCGAGGTGACATGGGACGGAACTCCGTGCTTGGAAAACACATGAAGTAGGAATAGACGAGCGAGATCCGGAGAGGTAATGGTATCGTGAGTCGGAACAAATATTGCTTGTTTGGATAAACGATCTATGATAACGAGGATGGCTGTAAAGCCTGACGAGTCCGGAAGTTGCTCTATGAAATCCATGGATATGGAATTCCAAGGCTTTTCCGGTATGGGTAGTTGCTTGAGCAATCCGTAGGGTTTATGTCTCGGAACCTTGGCTCGGGCGCAGGTAGTGCAGGACCGGACGTAGTCCTTAACATAGGTGCGTATACCCGGCCATGTATACTCGCGTCGGATGAGGTCTAGGGTTCGGTTTTGACCAAAATGTCCGGATAAGGGGTGATCATGAGTATTACGGAGGACGCGAAGTCGAAGGTTATCGGATTCTGGGACATATATACGGTTGTCGCAACGGAGGAAACCCCTATCGTCCACTGTCCATCTCGGATCTGAAGGTACCGGAAGATGGTTGGTTGCAATAGGGTCATTAGGAAGTGCGGTCAGGATGTCTTTCCGAAGGTCATCAATATCCATTAGAACAGCTGCTCTAAGAACCGGAGTTGCTAAGGTTGAGGCTCGTAGGGACGAAGCTAACTGTTCGGACGTGAATACTGGACGGAAGTTATGAGGGTTAACTCGAGCGTAGTCCTTATCCCCCTCTTTGGGATAGATCCGGAGGATCGGACGATAGAGAAGCGGATCGGAGATCGACACCGGATGGTCGAAGGTATATACTGAACTGGACCGATCCTTCTAACTTGCAGGCCCGGCAAAAGGCAACTGCATTGATTAGGGATATATTAGGAACAGTGTTATCAGCGGAGGGTACGGATGTAGTTGGAGGAGGTATGGTTTCCGTCGGAGGAGGGATATCCGAGGACGGAAGTGACGTCGGAGGGGTCGATGGCATTCCATGAGATGTCGTCCGGAATTCGATGCTGCCCAAAACCCAGTCAATCAACGGATTGTGTCGGGTGAGCCAGCTATATCCAAGAACGATAAAACAAGATGAATCCAAAGGGGTAACGTAGAACGTATCAGAGGTGACTACACCGGACGGAAAGCGGACGGACAAATCTATAGCTTCGGAAATAGTATTATTACAAGTACCATCAAACAAGCGGAGCGGAATCGTAGGTATCGGATATGTAGGGATTTTGTGTTTTCGGATGAACGCAGTATCTATGAAACAATGAGAAGAACCACAATCAACAAGAGCTGGAAATTCGGATACGGATGGAAGTAACGGAAGTGAAACATATGGACAGAGGGAAGTCGGATCCGAGAGCGCGACAGCGTTGAGTCTTAACTCCTTTGTGCAGGCAGAGTCAACGCGACCCTCTTCCTGCACGGAGCTAGGAGAGTCGCGGACTATTTTTTTGTCTCAGTAGAGACATCCGGTTTGACTTCCGGAGCGACTACTGCAGCGCGGCCTTTGGCAGCACGCGAAGTAGACTTGGTGCATTCCCGAGCAGTATGACCGGGTCCACCACAG